CCTGCCCCTTCCATACATATTAGGTTAAATCTTCACTTATTAATTATTCCTTTTTTGTTATATAGTTTTGGAATTCAGAACTAAATTTAAATTCATCATTAGTTTGTGTGGTTCCATCTGAACAGCTGGATTATACAAAATTGGCTGCAACAAAATATTATGGACATATTACATCATCACTAATGGTGTGAATTCTTTCACAATTGTTTTGGATACAGATACCATCATATTGGTTCGCTGTATGGTCATGAATTTTGACAACTCATTGGTTATGAACATTGATGAAAACCAAATGTTACTGTACATAAACATGAGACATTTACAGAATTGAAAAGAAAGACTGTTGTCATACATTTGTTTAGCAGATGGGAAATGCAATATCAATATCTGGAGAACCAACATAAGAACTAATTTGATCACAAAGACATTAAAACAGATTGTTTTGATACTTTTTATATTTCACTCAATATCCTGTTGACACCTTTGAAGTAAAGAATGATTTTACTACATTTAGATCTCCTCATTGGTACCATGAATTGTATTCATTGGATACGTTGCTTTGAACCCTAGAAGTATTTCTTATTTAAAATGTACAAATACCATGTATAATCACATTGTGTATGCGTGATGTTTTGCCAACGAAATGAAATTAACATACAGTGTGTCATTAGCATATTGTCAACAACTTTTAGATTAATACATCAATGGACGTAGTTTGTGCACGAAGGCAGCACTTCACTTGCGATAGTAACTTTTAGTTACATGCTAATTACCTAGTTGTGACACTCCTCGTCCAAGAATAAGCTAAAGTTTGTTCTTTATATTATTACTTATAGAATTTGTTCATGTACTCATTAAATATACCAATTGGTTAATTGATCTCAGATATGATTTCTTTTCCCCATCTTTCCAACTTACGATTCTTGCTTTTCGAACTAGTTTGTCATTTTCACTTGTGGTTGCATCAACCACCCTTCCAAGGGACCATTCACTACGATGTGTCTCATCTTTAATCAAGACAATATCTCCTACGGCTAAATTTCGATTACGTTCGTTCCATTTTGATCTCCTTTGTTGGTTTTGTAGATATTCACTCTTCCATTGAGACCAAAATTGGTCAGCTAAATACTGTGCTCTTCTCCAGTGTCTACGAGAATATAGGTTGAGGGAAGTGAAAACTCCAGGTGGTGAAATAAGTGGTCTTGGGGTTAAGGGTTGAGGTTGATCTGCGTCGGACAGCACAGTAGAAATAGGATGTGAGTTCACAATTCCTGTTTCTTCTGCCATAAGAATGACAAGAGCTCATGGGTAATTTGGGAAGGTCCGAGATCTATAAACATTCCATCAAGGACTCGTCTAATAGTGTTAATTTGTCTCTCCCATATTCCACCAAAATGTGAAGCATGTGGGGGGTTGAAAATTCATTCGCAATTTTGTTCCGCAGTATACTTCGCTATCATCTTGCAGTGCTTTATCTAACTTTGATTTTGCTCCTGTGAAATTTGTTCCCCGATCACACCTCAGAAGCGACGGTGGTCCACGAATGGCGAAGAATCTTCAAAGGGCGCAAATAAAGGAACTAGATTCCATTGTCTCCAAAACTTCGATATGGATTGCTCGACTGTTCAGACAAGTGAAAACCAAACCCCATCTTTTTGAGTTTGCAGCCCCTCCTCTTAGCCTTGCTGTACATATCTGCCACTGTCCGAATATGTCAAAACCAACATGGTGGTGGTGTTTCTAGTCTGTCGGAAGGTAGGTTAGCCATATGCTGGGTCATTAATTTCCCTTTGAGTTTTCTGCACCGTTATACATTGACTGATGAGTTTTGAAACCAGTCTTTTTGCCCCGACAATCCACCAACCTGCTTGTCTTACAGCGCTATGGGTGATCTGTCTTCCTTGGTGGTAAACTTTCTTATGATGCATTATAGCCAGCTTTGCTAAATGACATCCTTTCGGTATTATAGCGGGATGTTTTTCTTGAAACATCTGGTCCGCATCTGTTTCAATCGCCCTCCAACACGCAGAACTCCATCATCATCGAGAAATGGATCTAAAGTATACAAGTTGGATTTTGATGAAACTGTATCCTGAGATGATTGGAGGGTAGTGATTTCTTCAGCATACGCTTCTCCTTGGACGGTTTTGATCATCACCATCTCGCTCTGCCTTACTTCTGCAGCAGAAGGATTTCTTAGCTGTTGTACAACTGATGGTTAAGTGCTTAGATGTTTTCCCTCTTGTTACTATATCAGCTGGGTTTTCGGTAGATTCAACATATCTCCAATGGGAGGGCTCTGTGATGTTTCGGATCACTTGTATTCTATTAGCGACGTAGACATAAAACAAACAAATTTCATTTTGAATATATCCAAGTACGACTTTGGAGTCAGTGTAGAAAATGATTTCGTCAATCTCGAGTTTAAGTTCTCGTGTTATCCATTTCACTGCTCTGGCTGTGAGGACTGCTGCACACAGTTCTAATCTCAAAATTATCGTCGCTTGCTTAAAAGCCAATTTCGCTTGAGAAAATACAAGTGTCACTTTAACATCATTGGCTTGATTGATCAATTTTAAATAAACTGCAATGCCGATTGCATAGTGACTGGTGTCTGAGAAGGCGTGGATTTCTGTTCGTTTGATTTCGTGCGAGTTTTCTGGTGGATAACATCTTGGAATAAGGATATCTTGCAAATCATTTAGAGCAACTGTCCATTCACGCCATTTCATCCAAAGTAAACTAGGTAATGTATCATCCCATCCAAGAGGACATTCTTTGTTTTTTTTTCGTTTCCCAACGTCATCAGTTGTCGTAATAAAAGACATCCTGGTAACGTGACTGGTGTTGCAAAACCGAGAGGATCGTAGATGGAATTGATGACTGCTAAAACTCCGCGTCGGGTAAATGGTTTTTCAGGAAGAGAAATGGAGACGGTTAACACATCTTTTTGTAAGTTCTACATGACACCCAAGACACCCTAAAAAAAAACCACGCTTCAGGAGATAATGAACAATATTGAGCTAAAATTGTGACTAAACAAAACGATGCTAGGTTAAATAATCACCAACGTCTTCAACTGCAGGGATGGAGAACTATTGTGATATTGAAGTTGTTATTGATCACTATGCTTATGTGGAATATCTCACAAAATATGCTGCTAAAGGTGAACCAAGGTCACCTTTATTGAAACAAGCATATTTAACACTGCGTGTGCAACTCAATGTTCTGTTTCATATAGTTTTTCGCCCACTCAAGTCTCTTTTCTCTATGAACTTGCTTTAAAGGAGGTCGCACCAAGGGTTTCTTACATTTTGCTATACGCTTTAGAATCGAACATTGTGTGCTTTTAGGAACGTTACACATACCAACTGCTTCGAAAACCTGCTTGGAGGTCTGTAGATGATTACGGTGGACTTCGCGTTTAAGTGAAATAAGTATCCAACGAGACACACCTGACTTTTCCCGAATCTCCCCCTTGTCTGCTCTTCCATTGCAGGATTGTGGATTTGTAGCATACTTTTTGATTGTACAATGGTCGGGTTGAAGCATTTTGGCGATTTCAAGGGTGGGTTGCTTCGGCTGTAGTGCTTGTATAATTTTGGTCTTTTCAATCTGTGTCTATGCCCCTCTGTGGCCCATCTTGCATATAAAAATGGACGCCCAAGATCCGTATTCAAAGCCTAAATGACCGCTGTTTGTTTACTACTGCTCAGATCAGCCAAAAGCTTCAGTTGTGTGGATGTTACAGTGTTTACATTATATATCAAATTTCATAATCCTCTTTTAAAAACCAAATGAAATGTAGCGCAAAAACGATTTTGCATTATAATTCTTGGACGCAGTGTATTATGAAAAATGTTGATAGTAATACTGACCCTCGCAGAGCTATTAAGAAGGTAGCTCATCATTTAAAGTTATACCAGTTAGTTTAAATGGTTTACATAGAGTATGTCACACTGCAAGTATTGAAGAGGGCGAGTCCTGCACTGATTACTCACTTCTCAATGTGTACGCTAATTGTGAGCAATGTGATAGTTCACAAAATATCATGAATATGAATTCTGTTCAATTTGCCACAACATATAATACAGTTGTTAACAATGAGCAGACAAGATTGCCAGAGAATGTTATGCCAAGAATATTCCCAACTTACTCTTCGAATCCCAAAGGTCCAAACTTTGGACATTACTGTGAGTATCAACTATTATGGTATAAACCATGGAGAACAACTCAACACAATGCATGGAATGATGAAGAACCAACTGACAACGTTTTAATCAAATCTTGGCAACAATTTTTGCAAGCACCTTATGGACAATCTAATGTCCCAAATTGGTTTGACAGATTGGTCATCCAAAGTTAAGAATCAGAAGATGAACCTTCTGAAGAACAAAAAATAATGCGAGAAGAGTGGATGATATTATCAGACTTCACCCTCCTTTTAAAAACTGTGAACAAACACTGAAGTGAACATGTGACTGGCAACTTGACAGACACAATTATACAGAACAACAAATCCATGACGATGCAATTGATGAGCAATATGATGTTGTTGACAGTAGCGTAGCCAGCTTGACGATTTGTCCCACTATGCTAATATTTTGGTGTTCACTGACTGTGACCGCCACGTATAATTATACGTTAGGTTTAATTTTATGCATAACTAAGCGGTTAATCATGCATGCATAGGTTAGGTATATGTCGCAACACACTTATATATTTTTTTTGTTGTTCACGTTGCTCAACAGTAACGAACGTTAAGTTAAGTAAGTTAAAGTGCACGTTCAATAAGCTTGAAAGCAAGTTAAGTCATTAAAGTGTAAGTAGCAACACATATTTACGTTGCCCGAGAATTAAAGAGAAGTTTATATGGTATCAGTAAATTGTTGTTGTCTAATCGCTTCACGGTGAATGAATATCGAAGTTAAGTTACAAAATCGCTTTACGGTGAGCAAGCGCCGTCACAGTAAATATGTGTTAAAACATAAACTAAAACTATGCCAAGCATCACAGGACCAAGTTCTTTGCCCGAAGAAACAGAAATCCGTGCTGTTAATCCGAACCAGGGCGACAGTAAAAGCGATTCCGAAGTAAATATTCAGCCTCGCAGAAGACAGTTTACTGACAAAGGCAGATCATGGGCTATGGAAAACTTAAAGAAAAACAGAACATTAGCAGGGGCAGCGCTTCGAAAGCAAATTACAAAAGCAAATCTTCTCTCGGAAAGTTTGTGTGACATTCTAGCTTTAGAAAGGGAACGAGATGTTCTGGATGTGTGTCGAGATAAACTAACGGAGCTCATCATATGTATAATGCAAATTTAGACACTCACGAAGAAACCAACGACGCGTATCAGTGGTTCGACATGCGAGATCGCGAACATTTTCAGTGTCATACCAAAATCAACGAGAAATTAAAAACTCTCGAACGAATTGGAGCTGAGATTTTTCAACCTAAAAGCTCATGTTCAAAATCTTCAAGATCATCGAGAAGCTCTGTATCGTCAGTGAGATCAAAGAGAGCAAGTGCTGCTGCAAAGGCAGCTGCTCTTCAAGTCGAAATGGAATTCCTAGAGAAAGAAGCTGAATTCAAAAGCCTCCAAGTGCTGAAAGAAATCGCTAAAGCAAAGGCCGAAGAAACAGCCATGAAAAAGATAGAAGCAGAGTTTACTAAAGAAAATGTTATTGTGAACACTGAAGAAGAAAAGACCGAATTCGACAATGATATGGAAGCGTATTTCAACGTAAACCAACAGCGCGTGACTGAAGTGAAAGAATTCAAACCGGAAAAGTCATTGTGTGTCTCACACCATGTGGAACGTCCTGCGTCAGCCCCTCATGCCGTTTCTGATCCTTGCCAAGATTTCCATAATGAAGATATATTGGAAAATTCGTGTGATATTGTGAAGAAAGTCAACTTAAATCCAAAGGCGCAAGAATTTATTCCCCCATCAAATGAGAATCCTACCTTGACGAGTCGCGTACAAAGCACCGGCTGGGATTCAACATTTAACTATGGCTCAAATGAAGATCGACAAGATATCAGTTCTGTGTATTGGAGTTGTTAGTCAAACAACAAGGATTGAATTGTCTCCCTAAACAGCAACCACCAGTATTTTCTGGAAGTTACTTCGACTATCCAAGCTTTGTAAGCGCATTTGACTGTTTAATCGAAAGCAGAGTTGATGATCCGAAGCAAAGATTATATTGCCTGAATCAATTCACAAGCGGTGATGCAAATGAAGTCATCAAAGGTTTGGTCAACCTGAATTCCCCGGATGCTTACGCAAAGGCAAGAAACCTCCTAAAGGAACGATTTGGACATCCTTATCGCGTCGCGCAAGTATATAAGGAAAGATTAAAGAATTGGCCCCTTATAAAGGATACGGACGGTGTCGCGTTGCAAAGACTTTCTGACGTTTTGAGACAATCCGAAGAAGCTATGAAAACGATCAAGCATATGGAAGGATTAAACTCGGAAGATTTATTGAAGAAGATCAGCTCGAAATTGCTTATCTATTCTGGCGTCCGATGGTGTCGTCATGCCAACAACATTCTGAAATCTGAAGAAAGAATTGTAAACTTTCATGATTTGGTTGAGTTCGTGAAGAGCGAAGCCGACTTTGCCACAGATCCTGTGTTTTCTCCTCAAGTCCTTAAAGAAGAAAGGAAAGGTGATAGAAAAAATGAGGATAAAGAACAAGAGGTTCATAAAAGAAAAGGAAGCAAGTACTCGAGCAGTTTTTCAACGAACATTGATTATCCACAACCGAGAGTATCATACAAAACACAAGAAGTACCTAGATGTGCCCTTTGTACGAGAAGTCATTCCCTCGAATTCTGCCAGGAATTTAAGAAAATGAGTTTAAACGAAAGGAAAGACTTTGTTATGAAGAAAGAACTATGCTTTGGATGTTTTGGTCCAGGGCACATGTCAAGGAGATGCCAGTCCAGGAAGAAATGTACGATTTGCGACAAAGCTCATCCTTCACTGCTACACGACCCAACGAAGAATACATCTCTCGAAGAAATTTCAAAGCAAACTCCTTTGGAAAATGGTCCAATTTCTGCAAAAACGGACAGTACGATAAATAACTGTGTAAGTGTGTGCAACGCGATTGGATCCTGCCAAGAACAGACAAGTTCGATGATTGTACCAGTGTGGCTTTATCATCAGGACAAGCCAAATTGTCAAGTAATGGTATACGCGTTGTTGGATCCCGCAAGCAATGGAACATTTGTTAAGCGTCAGACAATGAAGAAACTCGGTATAGACGGTGTGAATACCCATTTACAGCTCAACACAATGCATGGTACTGAAGTAATTACTACACAGAAAGTTACAGGATTAAAGATAGAGAACCCCGAGAGGACAACCCAAGTCGAATTGCCCAAAGTTTATTGCAGAGATGATATCCCATCAAAGAGGAACGAAATTCCACGACCTGAGATGGCTGCAGAGTGGACCCACCTAGCTGACTTATCGAAACGAGTTCATCCATACCAACCAAATCTTGAGATCGGTCTCTTGATTGGATCCAACTGTCCCAAGGCGATTAAACCTAGAGAGGTTATACCTGGAAACGACAGTGATCCATATGCAATTCGAACAGTCCTTGGTTGGGGAATTATTGGCCTAATCCGGAAAATTAACCAAACCGTGGCTGAACAGCCTGACGTTTTGTGTAACCGAATCGAAGTCCAAGAAATCGGAAAGGAAAGGAAACCTGATATTAGCTTTGTTCCCGAAACCCAAGTTAAAGAGATCATCGACCCATCGTCAATCAACAGAATGTTTGAAATGGATTTTAACGAAAATAATACCATTGTTCGAAAGTCATTTTCTCGAGATGATCAAATGTTTATGGACAAAGTTTCTAAAGGAATCCACCATCGATCAGACGGACACTACGAGATTCCACTGCCATTTAGAGAGGACGATCTTGAGCTACCTAACAACAAGAAATTAGCTGCCTATCGCCTTCGAAATTTAAAGTCAAGATTTGATAAAGACGAAAGATACAAGGAAGATTATGTTAAGTTCATGAATGAAATGATAAAGAAAGGACATGCAGAAAAGATCCCTCCAGAGGAAGAATCGGCGAAAAACGGCAAAATCTGGTATATTCCACACCATGGGGTGTACCATCCAAAAAAACCTGGAAAGATTCGTGTCGTGTTCGATTGTTCGTCGGAGTACAAAGGAGAATCCATCAACAAACATCTCCTACAAGGCCCGGACCTTACAAATAAACTGACGGGTGTTTTGATAAGGTTTAGACAAGAACCCGTTGCATTCATGAGCGACATAGAGGGAATGTTCCATCAAGTCAAGGTGACGAAAGGCTGCCGAGATTTCCTTCGATTCTTATGGTGGCCACAAGGCGATACGAGTAAAGAAGTCGAGACTTACCGGATAACTGTTCATCTATTTGGCGCTGCATCTTCACCAGGTTGCTCCAATTTTGCGCTGAAACAAACAGCCGACGACAATGAAAGAGACATTGGCGAAAGAGCAGCCGAGTTCCTGAGAAAGAATTTCTACGTCGATGATGGTCTCAAATCCGTTCCTTCCATTGACGAAGCCATAAGTTTAATAAGCCAGACTAAAGAAATGTGCAGTCGTGGTGGATTTAATCTACATAAATTCGTCAGCAACAAGAAAGAAGTGATTAAAGAAATTCCGGAAGAAGATCGTGCCAAAACAGTGAAGAATCTTGATCTTGACGTCTTGCCAGTTGAGAGAGTGCTAGGCATTCAGTGGTGCATTGAGGTTGACAGCTTTGAATTTCGTATCCTGCTGCAAGATCGACCTTTGACAAGAAGAGGGATCCTGGCCACGGTCAGCTCGATTTATGATCCAATGGGCTTCGTGGCACCCATCATTCTGACAGGAAAGAGGATACTGCAGAATCTATGTCGTGACAAGCTAGACTGGGATGACAAAATTCCTGACAGCATAAAGATACAATGGGAGAGATGGCGAAAGGAGTTGCACTGTCTGAATGAATTGTCCATCCCCAGATGTTACAAACCAGTTGACTTTGGCGAAGTGACCTCTGCAGAACTCCACCACTTTTCAGACACAAGCACTGTTGGATATAGCCAATGCTCATACCTTCGATTAAAGAACGCCCAATGCAAGATACATTGCTCGTTGGTTATGGGTAAAGCAAGAGTGACTCCTGTCAAACCAATTACTATTCCACGTCTAGAGTTGACAGCAGCGGTGGTCTCTGTTAAAGTAAGCGAAGTGATAAAGGAAGAGCTGGAATATAGCATCACGAAAGAATTGTTTTGGACAGACAGTCAGATTATTCTCGGATATATTGGAAATGACACCAAAACATTCCATGTATACGTTGCTAACCGTGTTCAACAGATTCGAAGCCAAACCTCGAAAGATCAGTGGAGATATATCAACACGAGTTCTAATCATGCTGATGACGGATCGCGCGGTCTTACCCCCAAACAGATATTGAAGAACCCAAGGTGGATCACGGGACCAGAATTTTTATGGAATTCTGAGGAAGATTGGTTGCCACAAAAGGTGCTGGATATCTAGACTTGATACGGAGATATCAAGTCAAAGAGATCGAAAGTGAACATTGATCTCAATAACCAAGACGAAAGAAAGTCTCGTAGTATAGCACCTGTGATGACAGAAGATTTACGGCAAGCTGAAATCGAGATATACAAGTCTGTGCAAACTATTCACTTTCCGACAGATGTTGAAATTTTAAAGATGAAGACAGATAAAAATGCTTATCAAGGTCGCAGAGCTGATTTATCTTCAAACCAGATGGTGCCAAAGTCGAGTCCGCTTTATCGTCTTAACCCCTTTAAAGATTCGGATGGTGTTTTACGAGTCGGTGGTCGTATCCAGCGTGCAACACTTCTTCCCGACGTTAAATTTCCTGTGATACTTCCAAAGAACGGACATGTTACTCAGTTGATCATAAACCACTATCACGAAATAGTGGAACACCAAGGACGTGGTTCTACACTCAATGAAATCAGAAGCAACGGTCTTTGGATCATTGGTGGCTCTTCTGTTGTCGCACACCTTATCTCAAATTGTGTATCATGTCGAAAATTGAGAGGAACTGTACAAGACCAATTAATGTCTGACCTACCTGAAGATAAATTGGAACCAGCACCCCCATTTACCTATTGCGCTGTCGACTATTGTGGACCGTGGTACATTAAAAAACGACGCAAGGAACTTAAACGATATGTTGCACTTTTCACATGCATGGCCTCTAGAGCGATACATTTGGAAGTTTCTTACACTTTAGAGACAGATTCCTTCATACAAGCGTTACATTGTTTTATTTGTCGAAGAGGTCCGATACGTCAGATTAGAAGTGAGCAAGGTACTAACTTTGTTGGTGCTCGAAAGGAGTTACCTAGTTAAGAATTCAACACCTAGCGAACGCATTTTGGATATGATGGAAGAAGGAGTTTCTTCAAAACCTGCAAGAGAGACCAAAATGGAGTAAACCTCGGCGCAATCTTCAAGTCGGAGACATCGTCCTGTTGAAAGACGACAACACAATCCGAAATAAATGGAAACTTGGAAGAATAGTAGAAACATATCCAGACGAGAACGACTTTGTTCGAAGTGTAAAACTCGCCGTTGGAGACGCCTTACTTTCTAACAAAGGGAAAAGATTTGGAACTCAATCAATTCTAGACAGACCAATTCAAAAACTAGTACTTTTAGTACCAAAGGAACATTAACAAACAATTATTATGGATACGAATTCATACAAATCAAGAGATTTCCGTGGGGGAGTGTGACCGCCACGTATAATTATACGTTAGGTTTAATTTTATGCATAACTAAGCGGTTAATCATGCATGCATAGGTTAGGTATATGTCGCAACACACTTATATATTTTTTGTTGTTCACGTTGCTCGACAGTAACGAACATTAAGTTAAGTAAGTTAAAGTGCACGTTCAATAAGCTTGAAAGCAAGTTAAGTCATTAAAGTGTAAGTAGCAACACATATTTACGTTGCCCGAGAATTAAAGAGAAGTTTATATGGTATCAGTAAATTGTTGTTGTCTAATCGCTTCACGGTGAACGAATATCGAAGTTAAGTTACAAAATCGCTTTACGGTGAGCAAGCGCTGTCACACTGACTGTTAAAACAATAAATTTCTAAAGACATGAATAATTATAATAACTCAAAATTTACATAGCGGGACAAAATCGTCAGGCTGGCTATGCCACTGGTTGTTGATATAAACAGTTTTAGTGAAAAGCAAAAACTTGCCTTTGGCATTGTTGAGGCTTATTTTGATGATACATCAACTGAAAAAGAGCCTTATGTCCAATTATAAATGGCGTTGCAGGAACAAGTAAAAGTTACCTTATTAATGCTCTTAGAAAGCTTTTAGAAAAGTAAATGTAAAAAAAAAAGTAAATGTGCTATTACTGCTACTACAGGTAAGGCAGCTTATAACAGCTTGTTACGAATTCGCAAAGGTGAGTCAATAGTCGATCACTGGAAATTAATTTTGACATGTCAACCATCGATGTCACTAATTTATACAACTTTCAAGATGTTACTAGACTTTTCTATAGTAACGAACACGTGGCAAATTATAACAATGAACAGCTAACAAAACTTGAGCATCCAATTGCTCATGGAAGAGCTACTGGAACAGTTGTGTTATCAGAACAACTATCAACCACCTGACTTGCCTATTGCAGTCATTATTGAGTTTGAGGACTATAGAGGTCCTATTTTTAATCTGAACGAACCATTTTGCATTCCAATATTTCCAATCACAGTCACTTCACAATCAGAAACTGGTTTTCATGAGCGGCAACAATTGCCTCTAAGACTCACCTAGGCTCTAACTATGCACAAGGAGCCAAGGACTAACTTTTCCAAAAGCTTGGATAGATATTGGAAAATCAGAAAGAACTGCTGAAGTTTCATACGTTGCCATAAGCAGAGTGAGATCGCTTTCTTCTTGCATCATTGAACCCATGACATATGAACGATTAACAAGCTTGAAATCATCAGCTAGCTTGCAATACAGGCTTGAGGAAAAAAAACGCTTAGATTGTTTATTACAGACTACCAGTAGCAGTTAAATTGACAAACCAGGCAGTCTAGAGATGGGATTCTGTTATAGATCTCATTATGCTTTATTCTGTATGTTAACTGTATTCTGTATATAATTCATTGTATATTTATTGCCACTGTGTATAAAAAATGTGTTCACCAACATGTTATATGGTAAGTTGCTTTTTTCTTATACTTCACTCCTCCTTTACGACATTGATTAGGCTAGGGCCATTGAAGCAAACATAATGGAAGGAGGAAATGGGTCGGCAACTTGGATAAACTTGATGAAACCTGGGGCCGGTTGTATCTGGCGTTAACTCCGGCGCATGTGCCAGTCTTCAACATAAAGCTTCTGAACATAAACAATACAGTTTGCATATTGTTTCGCATACATATTTGCATTTAGATGCCTTGCGAACCTAAATGTTCGATCCCAAAATTCGGAAGCACATCGCAGTATAGAAGTTCAATTGTTCAAAAATGTAAATAAACCGCATGATACATTCGCTTCGTCTTACACTTAAATTATTACACTTAAAAATATTAAATCTTCGATCCTGTGCAAACTACGCGACCTGTCAACGCGCGCATACACGACCACATCATCTTGTTAAATGGCGAAATAGCAGCGATATTATTAAAATAGGACCGGAATCTACATGTATTAGATATATTCTCACCTTAATTCAATCTAAACTTAATCGAACAGCATGAAAACAACAGTTTATTTGTTCCTCGTGGAGGAATTGCAGTATCATGCGAGCGAAATCGAATCGCGCATTAGAAAATTAGCCAAAGCTGTGCGCCACAACTCTTGGGAGATAAGACTGGGACGTAGATAAATACGGTCACATACACGTTTTAGATACTAGAATATTTCGCGCCATTTCTGACTTGCGACAACACAAAATATAAAAAAAAGAACGAAAACAAAACAAAACCGGGGCGAATTTTCAACTCCATCACTGACGCCGGAGTAAAAACATCTAAAATGGCATTGTACAGCCATAGCATAAACATACAGTGTATTGTTTATACCATAGTTATTTAAATATGGCGCATTAAAAATGTAAATAGTCTTGTAGGGTAAATAAGGATGATTGTGAATGGATTTTTTTACCGGAAGTCAAATTAGCCAATATTGTTCTCTGACTTGTCCATTTTATTATTAATAATTGTAACAACTTTTCATTATAGCTTGGTAGAAAATCAGAGGTTGAAAATCACACACACACTCACATTATGGCATGAGTCCCCCCCTCTTCAAATTTGAAATTAAATTTATTTTCACATTATCTTGTAGGGGAACTTACCAATAATGTCGTCAAATGGCCTGGGTCAACTCATGATAGCCACATTTTTAGAACATCATCTGTTGACCGCAATTTAGTAGGGATTAATTTTGAAAATGGTGTTCTCTAAGGTGATAGTGGCTATGCCTGTATGCCTTATTTAATGACCCCATACCCAGGAGCCACAGATACAGCCCCAGTGACGATTTAATCAAGCACACAGGGTCACAAGGTGTATTATTGAGAGGACTTTTGGGGTCCTGAAACGACGCTTTCATGTTTTGCACGGTGAAGTAAGCTTGTGTCCACAGAGGGTGTGCACCATCATTGTCGCTTGTTGCGTTTTGCATAATATTGCCATTGACCACAATGAGCCAATTGATCAGGAAGAGGAAGAACTCCTGATAGAAGAGGACAACAATTATAATGGTATTGATTCTGGAGCAGCAATTCGAAATTATATTGCAGCAACATACTTTTAAATAAAATAATTTCACATTTCAATAAAACTGTTTATATAGAACATTTGAAGATTTCTTAATTTTTTAAATTGTATATACATGCATTCAGTTCAATTGTGTTAATTAAAAATTATTCCTCTTAATATAAGTGAGTTATATATTTTATTATTATATTTGTAAAAAGCCTCTTATATTAATGCTGGAGAAAACTCACTTATATTTAGCCTGCTTGATATTTGCAAACAGATGTTATGTTACAAATAAATAAACAATAACCATTGTTGTTCAATTTTCAAATGATGTGTTAGCCCTCAACATCTCAACTTCCAGCCTTAATTTTTCCTGAACTAGCATTAAATTTTGAACTTCTAGTTCGATTTTCTTCTTCCCCAATGCAAGGACATCCATTTGTGCTAATTGGATGTCCTGCGTGGTCACTTTTCTTTGCTTTTTGTTGGGTGGCTGATCCACAATTACCTGTATATCTGAGTCTTCTGCAGGAAGTGTTCCTGAGCCAGATGCTTGTAGGGTTTGGTTTGCTGCTTCATGCAGTGTTGTAATAGTAATAGTTGCTGCACCATCTGCAGGGGGAGTTGTATCAGTTGCTGGGTGAAGACGGACTGTTACCACTGGTAGTGGAATCTTTTCAAGAAATAATGGTGGCACATAACCAACAGGAGGTGGAGGAATAGGGAGATAGGGAGATTTGAACATGCTTTGGCAA